ATTTCCCATTTCGTCTACCCCCACTTAATTTATCGCCAATGGGATTAGATAAACTGGATGTACAAATGATGTCCCTTGACCCCGTTGTAGTGCCGCCACTGTTCTTACCTAACATAAATTTGTTTAATTTATTGGAAAATTATTTTATGTCTACTCTAATTCAAGATGAATGATCAACATACAGTATGGACAAGTAACCAAATCTATCCTCATACTGTATATCAATACTCCAAAAGTACCCAAATCTATCCTCATACTGTATATCAATACTCCAAAAGTACCCAAATCTATCCTCATACTGTATATCAATACTCCAAAAGTACCCAAATCTATCCTGGCAATCATTCATAAGTCAAACATAAAACATACTATATATCAATACTCCAAAAGTACCCAAATCTATCCTCATACTGTATATCAATACTACACAAGTAACCAAATCTATCCTCATACTGTATATCAATACTCCAAAAGTAACCAAATCTATCCTCATACTGTATGTCAGTACTCCAAAAGTAACCAAATCTATCCTCATACTGTATATCAGTACTCCAAAAGTACCCAAATCTATCCGCACACTGTATATCAGTACTCCAAAAATACCCAAATCTATCCTCATACTGTATATCAATACTCCAAAAGTAACCAAATCTATCCTCATACTGTATATCAATACTACACAAGTAACCAAATCTATCCTCACACTGTATATCAGTACTCCAAAAGTAACCAAATCTATCCTCACACTGTATATCAGTACTCCATTATGGTTTGCATATTAGTGAAAGTTAGTTACTTTTGTTGTATACAGGGCAGCTCAACACTGGCATCTTGCAGCAAGTTTCCATGCCTATTTGGGATAACGATGACTGTAAAAAAAAGTATACGCAGCCAATTACCGAGGGTTTTTTATGTGCAGGTTTTACAGAAGGTGGGAAGGATGCGTGTCAGGTAAGGGTGTAGTCAGTATCTTTGTCTTCCTATGTGAGCTTTCTTTTATTTTTTGCCTCCATAGGAACAGCAGTAAGCTTGCGTACTTATAACGCTAGTAACCGAGTTTTGATATCCACGATGGACACGGATAGCTCATTGTGTACCTTTTGCTTAACTAGAAACAACCAAATTATTTTGTATTTTAATAAATATTTTTAATTCCAATTATCTAATTTCAACTTTGAATGATTGAATATCATGACATTGCCATTATTTTCTTCAAATAACATAGGGTGATTCAGGAGGTCCGCTTATGGTAAGAGACAGAAACAAGAGATGGACTGTGGTTGGCATTGTGTCATTCGGGAGTCGATGTGCCCAGGCAGGTTATCCAGGTGTGTACACTCGCATAACAAATTACATGGATTGGATAAGAGAGAACGTTGGATTCTGACGACTTTGAGAATACTTTTGTACATATTTTGTTATGATCCTAGAACTTATTTTTTAAACTGATACAAATAAGACTTCAGTAAATGTTTGTGTTGGTGCTGATTTGAGTAAGCCTTATTTTCTGTGGTAAAGTAGTGATTGATTTGTGTTATTGTACATAAAATTTGGTGTAAAAAAATAAATAAATAGAAATGAACATGTTGTAACAGTTCAAAAATCACTTAACATATAGAAGTATTCATGATGATAGAATAGTTAGTTTCAACAAATTGGTTGTATACAAGGCTGGGGAAAACAGAAAATGTGACTACTTCCTATCTACATTTTATAACAAATAGTTAAATACTGAATGCTTAGGCATCTCATAAAGTGACTAGTTAATGTTAGTTGAGCTTTAAAATTTTCAATCATGAAAGTTTTAAAATGCAACATTTGGATAAGCCTTGGCATAGAGGGTGGCAGATAGTTAAAAAGAAAACACTTCTTGTTGGGATGCTGACAAATAAATGTAAGCTTGATTCACTGTACAAAGTCTCTTTTTATACCCACAATCAAACAGCAATAAGTTATTCTGCATAGGACCACTAATGTTGAGGGCAGATGAAACTACATGTATAAAAAATTTGTTTAAATTGGAACATTTTAATAAATTTGTGGTTTTAATTACAGTTCTGTTAATTTTGAATCATAGCAAATTATGTTGGAAAGATGAAGTAAACGGGTAAAAACAACAACTAAGCCTATTCTAACAGAAATAAGTTTAAAATATTAAGCCAAAGGAATAAACGGTACGGGTTCTACCAGTGCTTGAAATGGTAAAAACGAAGGTTTTAGTATGAACTTGGATATCAGTTTTTGGCTATGATAGAATTGCTGGTATGCAACTCTATGGAATATACAAGTGTGTATGTTCTACTAATCCTGCTCACACACAAATAAGTTTAGAATACAAAGTTAAAAGTAACGATTTCTATTATGCCATTTCAAACATAAACAACTTTGGAACATGAGGTAACAGAGATAAAATAACTTTAAAATGTAGAGTGAAAAGCAACAGGCTATATTAAGCCTGTTCAAAGAGAAACAATTTTGAGAGTGGAAATACAAGATCTATAACTTTTTTTTATTTAGAGCTATGACTTTCAGAAATGAGATGTTTTAGATTTCTTTCACTGTTTTTATCAAATATTAATTTTTTGTGACAATTATTGTTTCAGAAAAATCAGTTTCCAATTTGAATTCGTTGTCAGAAACTTACTTTTTTAGTTGTATATATAATAATGTAAATAAATAGGTGTGTTGGGCTAAGGATTCTTCTGCAGTTGGTGTCTGTGACTTGCTGGCGATAAATTCGACAATAAACGAACAGCACACACTCCACTTGGTTTTAAAATAATATATATATTCGAAAAAAGTTAAACGTATGTACAAAAATTATTTACAGTATGGAGATCATAGTTGTATCTTAAACGCTATACAGTTATCTTCTTGTCAAAAGTCCACTTAGGCCAATTCATTTGCTTTAGAATTCAGTTGACAAACCGAGCTATTTTTCTCTATTTTTATCACAACAGTATCCGTGTATAACTAGCTTACGCTGTTGCATGAATTACCGCAGTTATATCCTGAACTTCCAATAATCGTCTGCCTTTAGTCAAAGTCGACACAGGTGGTTCAATTAGTTTAGAACACCCTTTGACGAGATAAATTATTCTCCTTATCTCTGTTAAACTGTGAAACTCACTTTAAACTATCAACTATAAAGGGTATTCACTATCACAACGGTTAACTTTAAGTTTTATAACTTTTCTCTGACTGAACTTCTCTTTTACATAACTTTACTTTACTCTCTGTTTCCGCTCGTCTGGTCGAGCTATTTGTAAGTCTATCACTTCCAGAAACCTCCATAGCCTCGACGTCAATGAATTACAAACACAAAATAGATTAATTAATAATACTACCTACACTAAACAGTCTTTTATATCTGACACTCATGTTTACTTTGGTATAAAGCAATTATTAAAAGTAGTTGTAATAAGATAAACAATACTGAAATAGTTGTAACACGAACAACCAAAGACATTTAAACAATATTGAAATGGTTGTAACATGAACAACCAAACACATGTAAATAATACAGAAATGGTTGTAACATGAACAACCAAAGACATAATCATAGCAGAACCATCTGGAAAATGATCTATAGGAAGTAGTACAGCTTATAAAATGAGTCAGATCAACGTAGGCATGTCCTTAAGCCAATCAGGAAATGTCGGAGACCTACTGAAGGATGTGTAGATTGTATAGGAATTCTTTTTGGCGGCAAAGGACAGGTTTATTTGTTTTAATAAAGGTGGCTTCCAAAATATAGAGATGAAAGGTTGACAGACCATTTACAATAATTTTAAACCTGCTATCCGTGTAGTTGTTAACACAAGTCGGGTTCCCTAGTAAATGCTGGCCAATCGCTGGTTCACATTAATGGCTAAAGGACACGCCAATCAGTGATTGCCTTACCAGCCTACGTTGATCTAACACATTTTATAAGCTGTACTATTTCCTATAGATCATTTTCCAGACGGTTCTGCTATGATTAGTGTCTGGTGAAAAGCTTCAGCAGATATTTCCTTTGCAACATCTCAACCAACAATTGGTCCAGTTATGAACGCTATTTTCAAGTTTTGAACAACTCGACTTTCAAGATCTACATATCTACATGTGCCGATGTTTCCGTTTATCAACGTTATATTTTAAGATCTGTGCAAGAACTCAGCTAACAGAAATAGTTGTAACCTGAACAACTAAAGACATATAACCAATACTGAAATTGTTGTAACATGAACAACTAAAGACATACAAACAATACTGAAATGGTTGTAACATAAACAACCAAAGACATATAAACAATATTGAAATGGTTGTAACATGAACAACCAAAGACATATAACCAATACTGAAATTGTTGTAACATGAACAACCAAAGACATATAACCAATACTGAAATTGTTGTAACATGAACAACCAAAGACATATAAACAATACAGAAATAGTTGTAAGCTGAACAACGAAAGACATATAAACAATACAGAAATGGTTGTAAGATGAACAACAAAAGACATATAAACAATACAGAAATGGTTGTAACATGAACAACGAAAGACATATAAACAATATTGAAATGTTGTAACATGAACAACCAAAGACATATAAACAATACTGAAATGTTGTAACATGAACAACCAAAGACATATAAACAATACTGAAATAGTTTTAACATGAAAAGCTAAAGATGTTTAAGGTTTCATATTAAACTTCATACATTGTTGTTCATTTGGTGGAAGACCAACTTAATTAAGAAACTTACCCAGCCTGAACAAGCAAGTTTTTACTTTATGTAAAATAGTGTTTTACACACCGAGTTCAAGAATTAAATGACAAACTGGGGGCTGTTATGGTAGAATTATAGAGTGTTTCATTACATTTTTAAATTTCACGTTTTTTTCCCTGGAAATTGTATTTAGTATTCAGCTATTTACTTCATAAGTAAATATATATTTCCAGTTTATATCATGAGAAATGCCTTCTTATGTTGTTTGTATTTTCATTTTCACACGGTGTGATATCAAAGGCGCATTTTCAGACCGTGTAAGATTCACAGTAAAACATGTAATTTCCGGGTTTTTGGAACTAAAACTTACAATTAAAAATATTGACGAAATCAAACAAGTCTTACAACCAAAGAGATTTAGTAAATCATGGAATATACTTCAAGGATATAATTCATGCTATATATTTCAGGGGTGTTAAGATTTGTCCAAACAACCAGAAAAATAAAAACTGGTTTGTTGTTATTCACGCTCGGCTACCGAAGGCGATCTGCGCTGATACACTACCAGCTAGTCAACACTAGTCACCGTCAACTATTGGGCCATTCTTGTAAGGTCATATAGTGGGATCTGAACGTAATTTTTACAAACACCCACTGGTAGAAAGTCCCTCAGATCCACTATTCCGCTGAGCCTCAATCTTTTAGATAAGAAAGAAGTGCTCATCCTTTATAAACAGGACAAAAATTTCTGTTATTTACAACCAGAAAAATAAAGTATTTTTTTAGCTATGACAAAGCTACTAAGTATATCTACCGCTGCTCCTAATTTGGAACAACTGACCAGACGGAAGGCAGTACGTCAAAAACACCCTACCACCCACCATCCACAGTCAACAACACCTTGTCACCCACCATCCACAATCAACAACACCCTACCATCCACAGTCAACAACATCTTATCACCCACCATCCATAGTCAACAACACCTTATCACTCACCATCCACAGTCAACAACACCTTATCACTCACCATCCACAGTCAACAACACCCTACCATCCACAGTCAGCAACACCTTGTCA